TTTTTTTTTCAAGAGCTAACTGGACTTTCTTTCACTTCTCATCCAAGAAGCTTCCTCGGCTCTGACTGGATGGTGGGCAGGGGTGGGATTCAAAATTGTTATCAATGGGTTCTGTGTGGGTGTGGCTTAGGTGGTGGGCATGGCTTGGTGGTCATGTGACTGGGTGGACATGGCTTGTCATGTTACTGGCTGGGTGTCGCCAACTCAATATCACTCACATCGAGGCACGCCTGGCCTCTCATGACTGTGGGGATGCTGCAACAGTCCTAAGTGTGAAAAATGGTCATAAGTCACTTTTTTCAGTGCCATTGTAACTTTGAATGGTCACTCCACACAAGCAAAGTACCAGCAAAGGAGGGGCAAAAAACTCCAGAGAAGTTCTTGAGACAAGAAGTCTAATCCTACCAAGAATGTAATAAGGGTTAACGGAGAGGCAGTTTCTGTAAGCAACACCAGAATGTTTCCTCCCTGCCTTCCTTACACGATTAGGCCAGTAATTTCTTCTAACAACCGGTTCTCTGAACTGCTTAGAATGTTAACAACCGGTTCTAGCAAATATGTGTGAACTGGCAGAATCCCACCCCTGATGGTGGGGAATGGAAGGATTTACACTCCTTGCAGACAGCTGGTCATTTGCATCCTTTTAGTGAGTTTTTGAGGCCACCTGGAGGTTTAACTGTGTTGTCATGGCTGCCTGAGTAGTGCAAATGGGTATGGAGCCTTCTTGGAACTCTTGAAAGGACTTTGTTGTAGACTGGAAAATGCAAATGATGAGCTGTCTGCAAGGAGTATGAATCCTCCCATACCCCACCATCCAGTCAGAGCTGAAGAAGCTCCTTGGATGAGAAGAGAAATGTTTTCAAAGAAAAACCAGGAAGCCCAGTTGCCTCTTGCAAAAAACACCTTTGGGACAACCATGGCCTGGAGGACTGAGAATCTCCATAGACACTCTGCTGTACAGTACTATGAAGTGATATATAAATCTTACGCGCTATTGCAATTGCTAATGAAACATCTGCATGAAAAGAACCAAACTCAGAGAGCGCCAAGGACTCCTCAATAAGAACTCTAGCACAGAAAGGGGTGACAGTTGAACTTACCAAGGCATTTTACACCATCTCTCTGATAGCCCTTGTTGCATTTCTTGCAGCGAGAAGGCCCAGCGCCCATGCAGCCAATACAAGCTTTGGCACAATCTGAAGAGAAATTAAGAGAGCGAAATGAAGAGATGGGCATAGGCACTGACCCCCTTAGGGGTAAGGAAAGCTGGGTGGCTGGCTGATTGAAAAGGTAAGGGAAAAATATTAGAACATTGGTTGTGTATAAACCATAGCCAGTTTGGTGTAGCAGTTAAGGCATCCGGTTAGAAACCAGGAGATTGTGAATTCTAGCCCCTCCTTGGATGCAAAGCCAGCTAGGTCAGGGGTCTCAAACTCGATTTCATTGAGGGCCGCACCAGGGTTGTGTTTGACCTTGGGGTGGGCCTGGGCAGGGTGGGCATGGCCAGCTCAATGTCACTCGTGTTGGGAGCACCTGTAGAGGAGTGTGCTACGGAGCATGTGCTGGAGGAGGCCATGGCAGCCCAAAACAGACCTCGGGAGGGGTGCAGGCAGTCTTCCCGAGCTCCATTTTCGGCTGCCGTGGCCTCCTCCCGCACGCTACCAGCCGCCATCAGGTTGTAGATCAGCGCCCGGTCGGGCCGGGCTGGGCCGAAGCACCGTGGGCCAGTCCTTTGCTGTTTCCAGACTGGCCCCGCGGGACAGATTTAAGCACCACATGGGCCGGATCTGGGTCGCGAGCCTTGAACTTGACATCCCTGAGCTAGGTGATCTTGGGCCAGTCCTTCTCTCCCAGCACCAGGAAGAAAGAAGAGGCAAGGGCAAATCCCTTCCAAAAAAACCTCGTCAAAAAACCCACAGGGTTTGGTCCAGGCAATTGCCAAAAGTCAGAAACTAACTCAAAGGCACATACACACGCACAAATAAACGCAGTAAGCCTAGCGTGAAGCATCCACTATTTCCTGCTTTTTTTAAAAAAGGTGATTCTTATAGGTGTAAACTACCTACCTGGCTAAATAGGTAAGAATGTCTATTTATGGGAGATGGGAAAAATAATGTTCTCAGCTGGTAGATTATGCCATTTTTGCTTCCCTGAACAACTTCATATATTAGCAGAGGTGGTATTCAGCGGGCTCTGACCAGTTCTGGAGAACCGGTAGTGGAAATTTTGAGTAGTTTGGAGAACCAGCAGATGCCACCTCTGACAGGCCCTGCCAACCTCATCTATTCTCTGCCTCCCGAGTCCCAGCTGATCAGCTGGATCTTCTTTGGTTGCCCTGCACAGGAGAACGGAGCTGGAAAGCAGGTTAGTGGGCTGGGGAGAGTATGGGGATTTTACAGTAACCTTGTCCCTGGAGTGGGGAGGGAATGGGGATTTTGCAGTATCCTTCCCCTGCCACGCCCACCAAACCACACCACGCCCACCAAGCCACGCTTTTGAATCCCACCACTGTATTGGGATTCATGCCCCAAACCAGACAAACAAGGGTTGATAAACTCGTAGCATAACTTCCCAAGGGCTGCACAACCCATAGGAACAGAATCACCAGATCCTCTGCTGAAGACCTACTTCTCTGAAAGCAGCTCTGCTTCTTGAACGTGTTTCAGTGACACCCACAGGGGTGCACAGCAACAGACGGTCCATTTTGGGAGCTCCAACCTCTTACCTTGGCATTCATAGGAGCCTTCGGTATTGACACAAAACTGGTTGTTGCGACAGTGTGCCATGTCAGTGCCACATTCATCTATGTCTGTAAGAAAGACAAGAGAGATTCAAGATAGGAGGTGGGCGAATACCTTCTCTCCCTCCTTCCTTCTCTCTCAATTCTCGCGGAGGCATTTTACATTCTCCTTCGAGCTTCTGTGTTGCTGTTGTGGCTATTGCTATTATTTATTACATTTATTACAGTCACCCGCTCTAAAAGACTCTAGAGCAGGGGTCTCCAATCTTGGCAACTTTAAGACTTGTGGACTTCAACTCCCAGAATTCCCAGAACAAACAACCCAGGGAACAGCTTTGCCCTCGGAAGTTGTGGGAGCGCCATCCCTTGAGACTTTCAAGAAGAGATTGGACTGCCATCTGTCAGAAATGGTGCAGGGTCTCCTGCTTGGGCAGGGGCTTGGACTAGATGACCTACAAGGTCTGGTCCAACTCTGATTATCTGTTATCTGACTCAATTTTGTGATCATTTTGTTTTGCAGCAGTCATTAAGCAAGTGGGACAGTTGTTAAGCATGCTCTTTGTTCACCATGGAACATTTTCAGCAAAAATGTCATAAACCATGGTCACATGACTGCAGAACACAGCAAACAGCCATCAGTGCCGGCCAGTTGCTAAGTGCCCAAAATTCAGTCATGTGTCTGCAGGGGGTGGGAGCAACCGGCTTGTAAACACCTTTTAGAGGGTGTGTTGTAATTTTGAACGGTCACTTATGACATCACCAGTCATTAAATCGAGGACTACCCGTACCCTATCCAGAAGAAGCAGGTCTTTGAAGGAATATAAAATCATACATTGCAATGACTTACCTGTCAATGAATACTTCAGATTCAACCATAACAATACAAGAGCACACAATAGATACAAACTCAAGGCTAACCGCACCAAACTTGATTGCAGGAAATACGACTTCAGCAACAGAGGGGTCAAGGTCTGGAATACTCTACCTGACTCTGTGGTTTCTTCCCCAAACCCCAAAAACTTTAACCTTAGACTGTCTACTATTGACCTCACCCCTTTCCTAAGAGGTCTGTAGGGGGCGTGCATAAGCGCACCGACGTGCCTACCGTCCCTGTCCCATTGTTTCTTTTTATTTCTCTTATATGTATCCATTTCATGCATTCCTGACTATGTTTATACTTATACCTATTATCTTGTAAGCAATTGACAAAAATAAAATAAAATAAATAAATAAATATGTTAATTAATTAATTCTGCCTTTTCAAACATCACCAAGCCAACTCCAAACCATTTCAGGGCCACAGGCTCACCGATGCATCGTTGGTTGTGCAGCATCCAGCCTCTCTTGCAGCGCAGACAGCTGGTATCCTCGGGGCCTGAACAGCGCCCACAGGCCCGGTAGCACTCTGAGTGGGAGAGAGAATTGGGTGAAAAGGAACACAGTTTACAACGGAGGTGAGGTGGAAAGCTTGAGAAGAAAAAGCAATACATGGCTGAAGTAAACCAGTTGCATGCCTTCCAGCCAACCTGCCACATAAACTACAGCTATGATTAACCTTGCCTTGGGAAGAGATTACAGAAATGACAATCCCCCAGCCCAGCCCAGCACAAACACTCTACGTACCCGCACATACCAGGTGGCTGTCATTGCGAGCAGCTTCATAGTAGCCATCTCCACACTCTGAACAAAAGGGACCACCGTAGCCAGTCTGACACATGCAAAGACCGGTGCCTCCACGTGTTCCTTCACCATCACATTGCCCGTATCCACTGCAAGGCTTCTCGGTACCCCCAGGGCAGGCTGCAGAGAGATGGAAATCAGATGGGGAAACCGACATGTCACTTGGCTCTACGCTGCAGCGCTCAGATTTCCTCACTCACTCCATCTCTTCTCCCCGTTCCAGAGACCTACATCTTGCAAAGGTTAAGAACTTGCTTTAACTTGAAAGACTTCAGCCTTGCAAAGAAAGGGATTGCAAGAGAGTAAGCGGGCACACAATGAGGAATAACTGGGCTGTCTGTGTAAGCACGTTCATGACTGCCATCCGTATTGCTTTCAATATGTGTGGCTGCTTGTAATCACTTCCTATCCAATCAATGTAAAGGCAAATATGAATTCCCTTCTTTAGTGCAGGGATATTTAAGCCAAACAGGGGAGGAATGGGGAAAAGGAAAGCAGTTGCAGTCATATTATTTATCAACTTTAGCAACTCCTTCACTTAAATATCAGATGTGCTGGTCAGTTACGCTTGCTAAATAAGGACTATCTGGTATTAAAATGGTGATAGAGTTATACAGAGGAATTATTCAGTCTGTCATCTGCACCTCTATAATTGTCTGGTTTGGTTCTGCAACCCAACAGGACAGACACAGACTTCAGAGAGTAATTAGGATTGCAGAAAAAACAATCACTACCCACCTGCCTTCAATTGAGGATCTATATACTGCACGAGTCAAAAAGAGGGCTGTGAAAATATTTACAGACCCCTCACATCCTGGACATAAACTGTTTCAACTCCTTCCCTCAAAATTATGCGATAGAGCACTGCACACCAGAAGAACTAGACATAAGAACAGTTTTTCACCGAAAGCCATCACTCTGCTAAACAAATAATTCCCTCAACACTGTCCAACTATTACAAAGTCTGCACTATTACTGTTAATCTTCTTATCACTCCTTATCGCCCATCCCCTCCCACTTGTGACTGTATGACTGTAACTTTGTTGCTTGTATCCTTATGATTTATATGGACTGTTTCCTAGTATGATTTGATTGCTTAGTGTACCCTATATCTATCATTAAGTGTTGTACCTTATGATTCTTGACTCTTGACGAATGTATCTTTTATGTACACTGAAAGCATTTGCACCAAGACAAATTCCTTGTGTGTCCAATCACACTTGGCCAATAAAGGAGTCTATTCTATTCTATTCTATTCTATTCTATTCTATTCTATTCTATTC